TCCACTTCCCAACCCTCTCTTATTTCTTCATACTTTCTCTTTCTCAAAATGTAAGCAGTTCCACATAGAGTGATGATCACAATAGATACTGAAACAATTGAGACTACCATTTCAACAACTGGTAATCTCTTTGATTTTTTTGGACGAGGAACCGAAGGAAGCTTTGAGAGTTCTAGCCCCTTTGCTGACCCAGTTTTGTTGAAGCTCCACCCGAGAATATAGTGGTTGCTTGCCGAAACTGAACCTGTTGCTGCAGAGAAACCAACATACATGGAGTCCAAGAAAATTGGAGAAAGATCAATGGAGGTTGACAGGAGAGGTTGATTAGGCTTTGGGCTTCTGATTGGAGCTAGTGCAACGTTTATAATCTTGTTTCCTCCGTCATAATCGATCCAAATTTGAATTGGGTTTCCACTCGTAAGCTCCAAGCTTTTGTTTACCCCTTTGGAGAAATATGACACAGGAGCTGATGCAATTGAGTTTAAGCTGTTTACATCGATTCCAACATGATTGCCGTTAATATCTTGGAATACATTGTTAGCAATAGTGTCAAACTCAACTGCGAACACATGGTTTGAGGAAAGGCCGTTGTTAGAAGAATTGAAGAGTCCCAAATAGAGGCTTGATCTGGCATTACTGAAGTCCATAGATGGAGAGATAGTGAAGGCAAAGCCATTGCCATTAGGAACTGACAAATCTGGAACAATGGCGAAGATAAAACTGGTGGAAAATGAGAGAGACGATTCGGGTGACTCGGACGAGTTGAAATTCACAGGGAGTGGGTAGAAAGCATGGCCATTCTGTTGGCCGGAAGTGTTTGTTAGCTGCAATAGACCATTGGAGCGGATTTGAGCGAGCCCATCAAGGTGAAGTTTGGATTCACGAAAGCCATTGTAAATGAACTGGTTTTGAGCTTGAGCTAAGGCCAAGAGTTTGAAAAACATAGAGAGAAGAAGCATCATGAAATGAAGAGATCTAAGATCTGTAGTCATTTTGGTGGAGAAGAAAAGGTTTCTTCTTTTGATGATGGAATGACAAATGCTATTCCTTTGCCTAGAAATGAGTTTTCTCAACTGCTAAATGTACTATAGCATTAAATTTTGGAAAATGCTATTTGGTTGAAACGTTGAGCTTTATCCCAACCCATGGGTTTCTCAAAGGATTTTTCAAATTCAAGTTGTTTTAATAACGTGAGTTGAAATAACATTTTTAAACTAAAAGATATTAATTAAAATAATGTTTTTTTTGGTTAAAAATGTCATACAAACTGACTTTTTTGTACGATAGAAGAGGACATTTGATTGAAAGCGTCAATTATACTGACATTTTCATTAACTTCCCCATATGCAAGGCAACAAAGATACAAACGTTTCAGAGCTTTTACTCCAACTTATGTGGTTTTGAAAAAATATACTCAAAAGAGGATTGTTTTTAAAATATTTTTCAAATTTAGGTTGTTTTAATAGAAATTTCCCATTTTTTGGTTTGCAGCCTTAAAAAATAGTGGGTTATAGTGTCAATTACAACAATATTAGGGATACTTGTGTTGTTTCCGAAAGTGTTGAGAAGTGTACTGATTTTTGCCTATTTATGTTTCGGTTAATACATTTTGTTGGTTTTTTCGCTGGCGAATCGGTCTTGCTCGGAGCGTAGGCCTCGTATCGCGTTTCTTGGCAGCCGGAGATCGTCGGAATGATCAGCGTTCTATCTGATCCAAACTATTTCAATCATCAAGCATTCTTTCTCCATATAATCACATAATAAACTCTTGCGAATTAATGTTTGGGATTTTCGCAGGAACGTCTACGGCACACCCTTCAATTCTTGGGGGGAAGAAGGAAGAAAATAAGAGATAAGGAAATAAGAGGGCAAAAGGAAAGAAGAAAACCGATCATCACTAAAAAAGTTAAAAAAATTATTACAACCGACGTTTTCAATGAAATAGTCTTTTGCTATTGATCAAAAAAGTTAATAGTTCTGATATTTTTAGTCTACAAATGTTACTTCAACTGACGTCTTTTAGTCTAAAAATGTCATTCTAATTAACGTTTTTAAAACAACCTAAATTTGAAAAATATTTTGAAAACAATCCTCTTTTTGGTATATTTTTTCAAAACCACATAAGTTGGGGTAAAAGCTCTGAAACGTTTGTATCTCTGTTGCCTTGCAGATGGGGAAGTTAATGAAAAGCCAACTATTTATTGCACTAACTAGGTGTTGTAATCAAAAGAAATTGGGATAAATTATTGGGTAAGTAACAATTTAATAAAGTTGACGGTTTTTTTGGTAAGTGATAAAGCCAAAATTATGATTATAGGAGGTTCAAAATTTTGAGATCGAATCTAAAAAACAGATTTTGGATGGATTTTAACTCAACTTCATTGGGTTGTAAGATGAAATGTTTGAATTATAATTTGATCTGAAAAATCAACGAACAGGCATCACTTTCGATATCTTTCCCTGATCTTTGTTTTGAAAAGAAGGGATTCACGATGAATCAGAGGAAAATAAAAGAGCTGGCGTGGCAAGTTGTTGAAAAGGAAACAATTGCAGGGCTGATAGTGATTGCCAACAAGTTAGTCGGTGGTATGGTACATGTCACTATAAAAGAAACAGAGCATTGCAATATTGTCAAGCCTTTGTGGCCAAAAAAAAAAAAAACAGAGTCCTTCCTGTGTTAAAAAATAATATCTAAAAAGTTTTAGTTAGTGTGAAAAGATTTTTTTTTTTTTTGCTGAATATAAATTGAGATTAAGGGTCCGTTTGGTAAGAAAGATGGAAGATATGAGGGATGAAAAATTAGGAACGATAGATTTTTCATCCATAAAAGAAGGAAAGACACTTTCCCTCATTTTTATTTGGTAAGATGGAAAAAAGTTGGAGGGATTATTTTTCTAATGTTTGGTATTGAAAGAATGATGTGCAATATCATTAGCAGCTTGGGCCAAATGTCAAAATGATGATTTGTACTTTTGAATTGAAAGTGGAAAATTCCCACTGTTTTTGCTTGCATTGTGCCCAATTTTCCAAGGCAGTCTTGCTGGAAATGCCATAAGCTTTTGCTTTCATTGTGCCCAATTTTTCAAGGCAGTCTTGCTGAAATTGGCATAAGCCATGAGCTTTTGCTTTCAATGTTGTGCCCTATTTCCCTTAGCATTCTGGCTCAAAATGGTACGGGACAAATTCCATTTAGCGTCTTATTATTATCGAGTTTCACATATTATACTCTCTAAATCCTTGAATTAGAATTACACTAAAATTCTGAAACGAAACTTCCATTATGTTTGTACAGTAAGTGTCCACGTGAGTTCGTATTTTGTGACAAAATGAAAAGAAATTATATTGTTGTTTGGATATAAAATGCTAATATTTAAGTATTAACATCTGGCAATCTGGATGCACTAAAGAAGATATCACGTGGCAGAATCTGAACAAAGGCGGGAGAGCCATATTTATAAAGAATAATAATTACTAGAGTCCACAAGATGTACGATCTGAACATTGTTATGAGTAGTTGCAATTAAAAGTTATTTATTCTGTCTTTTTGTAACCGAAATCCCATTGAATTAATAAAAGAATCATCTTTTATTAATTTCATATATTGTGTGTTTGTTCATGGTTTTTTCATTCAAGGAAGTTCTAAAACAAGACATTTAAACCATTTACAAACAATCGCCTAAAAATTGTCATTTGATTGGAACATATCTATCGCTCCTAACAGATTTTAGAACAACAATAGTTCGATGAACAAATTGACACAACTTTAATTCCATCTAATTTGTATCGGCACCTATGATTGGGGCACTAAAAAACTCAATACTGTAATTCGAGGCGTGATGTGATAAATACAATGTGAGGTCAAACAGTTGAGGAAGTCAAAATATAATTTTCTCAATATTCCATAAAAGGTAAACGAGTTTAGATTTCTAAAATTGTAGCCTAGTGCAGGAAAATGGCCCCTGAACAATAAAGCTAGTTCCAACTATAAGCTGCAAGCACAGAGCAAAATAATATGCAGTTTCTCCTTTATTACACTGACATTATCATTTATTATGACAATTTTCTCATTTCTCAATCTCTCAATTTTCTAATTTACATACGGGGGCTATCTCCAGCCTTATCTCCCAGTAGTGCAAACCCCAAGTATGCATTTGGAAATGTCTTTTCAGATGATTTTAGAAGTTAGAATGTGTGGGAAGTGATTTAATTAAGCTCATTGCCTCACCAATCACCAACTACTTGGTGTAAATAAGTAGGAGTTCTTCGTCGGGCATGAGATCGAATCAACTTGACTTGCATTGAGATGTACTCCTGGTTAATGAATTCCCAAAACTACATTCAATCACATTGTGGTCATATGTTGGCATCACCCTTGCAACAAAGAATTTTTTTTTAGTTGTCAGGATTAGATTAGTTCAGGGATTCATATGTTTTGGTGGTATACGTTTAACTAAGTTAAGTCGTTAACATTGCTGATTTAAATCTCGTAGAGGTATAGCTAAAAGAACAGTTGACTCAACACTATAACAAGTAAGTTGTATGGACCTTACTTATACAGGAAACTGGTATGCCGAATTCACTGAACCATTTTTTACCCGCAATTGAACAGCATTTTTCTTTAGTTGGCTTGGAGTATCCTTCCATGATTTTCCTCCTCAGTAACTGCAATAAGAATCTAGTCAAAGATGAAATTTTGATAGATTAACATAGAATAAGTGCTGGATGATCCATAAATCTGTTGCAGAATATAGGTCAATGACGGATGATTATGACATGAGGAATGAAAAGAATAGCAATCTCTACCTTACATCACATGCTTACAAGAAAATACAAAATATGCAGAAAAATTACAAGAAAGTAGCAAAAAAAGGTGCAACTTAAATGATGATGTTTATCCTTTTTATATATAATAATGATTTGAAAAGCATTCCTAGTCTGGCTATGTTTGGCATCAGCCGATCAATTGAAGAATGGTGAATAGGCAGTCATTGCTATGTGCATTACAATGAATTGACAGTGAAGTGAAAAGTCAACTCACCTTCATGAGCATTGGTAGAGAGGGGAAGGTGTGTCAACGAACTGGAACTGGTGGAGGCTGGAATTTGTGGGGATGAGCTTGTAGTGGTTGTAAAGACAGAGCTGTGTGGCAATGGCTTTGCATTGGTGGAGACAGATATGTCTGAGGAGGAGTTTGTATTCTTACTTGTCAAGTGGGAGGGTGCTTCAGGCCGAAGAAATGAACTTACAGCTTCTCTCACCTTCTCCACCACACCCACCTCACAAGGAGTTTTTCTTGGACTTATTGCCTCAGATATGACCTGAGAAAGTGCTCTCTCATCTTCTCCAGGCTCAAGCTTGTGCATCAAATACTCCTTCACCGAAACACTTTTTTCCCATTTTGGTGGACTGTTACAATATTGGTCTCTTGTTTCTGAATTGCTACCTAATTTTTCAATGACACTAGCAGTTGGGCCAGTAGTGTCTCCAGTTTCCACAGGCGTAGGGGTTACAATAGTCAAGCCTGCAATCGTAGAAGCAATTGTTTGTGTTGCATCAGATACTGCAGCATATGCTGGTGCCAGTTTCTCAGATACTCCGATATATGCTGGTGCTAGCTTCTCAGGGACAGTCTCAGTAAGTGTTTTGTTAGCACTAGGAAGCTTCTCTTTTTCCTCTTCAACTCCGTGTTTGACACTGCTTGCCAAAACATGCTTCTCAGAAACTACAGGATCTGCTCTTGGGTGCTGCCTTGCTGTCTCTTTGTAATTCTCAGGTGCTAGCTCTGATTCGTACACTGAAGATAAAAGTGGACACTATATGATTGTGCAAGATGGATATAAAGATCAGACAGCCTTATGGGCTTAACAATACATTTGACTCTCTTCATTCCTTGCATCAAACAAGACCAATTTGATGGCGCCACATAGGCTCCATCAGTTGCCCAATAGGTTTTTCTGGAACCTTAGTTGCCTGTGAGTTCAAGGTTGAACTTTTTCTCTTCCCAAATCTTTACATTGAAAAACCTGCCTAATATGTTAGACAACTTAAAAAATATTAATCATCTGAGTATGAAATCAGCATTTGCATATCAGGTCATCCTTTTGTACCTTGGTTGATACCAGAAGAGGCACTTTGCTAATTACATATTAGGTGATAATTAGACAGGCAACATCTCAAAAACCCTTAAAACGTCTAGTTAAAGCAACAAGATTTGACTGACTCCATATGCAATCAAACGTGAAATTGCATCAAATCATAAAAGGCTTCAGTGGTATTACTTGGAGCTCCAAAAAATTCAGGATCTTCATCCTCTTCACCGCCGTCCAAGCTAACACCCCATGAGGGCGTGGTGTTATTGTCATGCAGTGCATTCCCATGGTTTTTCTTGCCGCTCAAAGTGTTCCGCAGCTTCTTAGCCTTCTCCTTCACTTTTGCGAGAACTGATTTCCTATGTGGGCTGTGATCTTCTTCTGGGTCATGGATCCTTCCGAGCCTAGGTGAGGCACCTGATGGCCAACTTGAGGCATTACCTGAAGTGACAATGTCATGTTAGATGACTCCTCAATCAAGGTCAATCTAGGCCCAGAATGATCAAGGCCTAGTCAAATTTCAAATTGAATTAGAAATGTGACAGAGTGACTTCATCTTAAGTCAAAAAAACAGAATCCCACATCCAGAAACCAACGAAAAGTCTCATTCACGAATTTTTTTTGCCTGGAGATTATGACTTTCATGGGAAAGAATGATATGGAATTACCTTTTAGCAGTTGTTCAAAAGTTGGGGAGGTTGGAGTTCGAGGGGTTTTAGAGGTCTCAGGAAATCGTGGCACCCCATCAAGCTGGGACATTGCTGGTGATCCACGAGAATGCTTATTCGAATACCTGTCTTGTGATCTCTCACTATCTGTTATCTAGTTTCTATCACTGGTGTATTTTCATCACCCTTTGAGAAATTTAAGGTTAATAAGAGATTTTAATGCATTAGTTTGCGGGTTCCTGGGTAGACTCTTTCAGACAAAGAAGTGAAAAGAGCTTGTGGGCTACTTTCTTACATGTGGCAATAGAGTAACATCATGATCTGCTTTGTTGCCACTTCATGGCTCCCCCAGAGTTTACCTCCCAATATAGCAATTGACTAGGCCTTGGAGCAACTAGCTTCCTATATATTAGCCTCGTGTCCTGGGAAGAACCTTCCCGTGTTTCAGACTTGTAAATAGATTTGGTAACGGAGAAATGCACGGTGTGAACACTTCTCTTATCTGGTGAAGAAAAGTACAATATAGCGATTATCTTGCTCGAGCCCATCAGGTAAAATAACAATGTTAGGCATTTGAAACAGCATCATGTGAAATTCCCCGTTAGAATCAGCACCAATAGACGCAACAAGATAACTAATGTATCATGTTCCTTACATTACTGGAGAGTGGAGACAAATTTATTCTCTGGGCACAAACCCACCCGTCTTCACAGCAACATTTAAGCAAAAACCAGCTTTCAAACTCAAATCATCTACTCGAGCTCCTAGCTTTGCAGCTTCTAACTTTGCACAGAGAATCAGAATAGCTGATACGCTGCAAATGATCGGAGCTATTCCAATTCTGATCTCAGCAAACAATTCAATTGCAATTCCAGGGACATGGAAAGTTATGCAAACAACCAGATAACAAAAAATTCCAAGTGGCTGCATTTCTTTGAGGTATTTCATCAAACAATTGTTGGGCACGAGAAACAATACCGTATTCACAGTACGTATCAACGAGAACGATTGATTTACACTTTGGAATGTAAAACACCTTAAAAGATAATTTTGGAATAGAATTGATACCATGTCAAGAGAAGCCTTATTGGGAAAGAATCACAATGATTTTGGCAACGAAGATCAAGCTTTTAATACACTAGTAATGTACTACGTCAATAAATTTTTGGGAGAATTAGGCAGACTATTTGAGTTTTATCACTTAATCACCTAAACATATGACATTTAAAATATTACGCACAAACTCCTGAGATTTATACGCACGCGTAACACTTAGACATCTGTAAATATATCAGTTAATAAATTATACTTAAACCCTTTGAAGTTTATAGGTATATAATATTTAGATCTTTTAAATTTAAAATATTGTATTTATACTAAAAATACTCTAATCAAAGATAGAATATCAAATATTTTAAATTTTATAACTAAAATTCATATTCTATTGTATCATTTATTGAAATAAAATTAAAAATAAAATTTATTTTTTCTTAAAAAATCATAATTAGTATACAATTATATTATCTATTGGAATAAAACTATAAAATCAAACAAGAGGTCTAAGTCATTCATAATAGAACATGAATTTTACATCCAAATTTCATGTTCTATTATGTCGTTTATTAGAATAAAATCAAAAGTAAAAGCCTAATTTTTTTAAAAAAATCATAGTTAATATATAATTATACTATCTGTTAAAATAAAACAAAAAAATTAAACAATTGGTCAAATTGTAACAAAGACAATATCTTTTAACTTTAATTGGGGTAATTTGATTTTTTAATTTGAACGACCAAATTAAATTATAATAGACAATATAATTGATTTTATTTCAATAAGTGACACACTAAAACATGAATTTTAGTTGTAAAATTTAAAATATTTGATATTTTATCTTTCAGTGGAGTATTGTTGGTCTAAACATAAATTTTAAACTTAAAGGGTCTAAGTATTATATATTTATAAATTTCAGGGGTCTAAGTATAATTTATTAACTGATATATTTACAGTTAGGGTCTAAGTGTTACGTGCGTACAAACTTCAGGGGGTTTGTATATAATATTTCAAATGTCAGGGATCTAAATGATTAAGTGACAAATTATAGGGGGTCTAGGTGTAATTCTCACATAATTTTTGTATATTAAAAATTAATAAAAAATATTAAGTATATGCTTATCTAAATTAAATATTATTGTAAGCTTTTCAAACTTATTTTCTTATTGCTCAAATTGTATTATAGAATTATGAAGATGTTATCTGTCCCAATGATTCATTGGTTTCGCTATAAAAAAATTATTTTTTAAAATTTCTAAATTCTGATATTTAGAATAGATAATTAGAATAGGCGTAAGAAAATAATTTGAAGATTTAAACACATAAAGATATAATGATAATTTAAATATTTAACTATTCAAGGATATAATGGTATTTATATTTTTTTATAAGGGTAAAAGAATGAATCTAAAGTTTTCTATGTTACGGTATTTTTATTAATAGTATAGACATAAATATAGATTAAAAATATAATGTGAAAGTTTAATTTTTAAGGGTATAAAATAAATTTTTTACTAGCCCGGTGACCGTCTGTTCGGACAACCACTCTACGTCCACCAGCTAGTAAATGAGGTTAGGGTCTCTCTATCAGTGTATAAACAATCAACTTTTTAGTATTAAAAAAAAAAAAAAAGTTCTCCAATTCTTGAAAAAAACTTAACATGCGATCCCTTTATTAGCATGAATGTTAAGGGAATGATTAGTTATTGATTTTTATTACATATTTTGTTCTCATCATATGATTTTAGCCAAAAATATAATTATTTTTTTTTCTCTTTCTTATGTTTGTTATTGAGGTTTTTGCGGTGTTATCTATCAAATTTAAAATTCAAACTCGTGAACCAAGTAATTTAGACATTATGATACATCTGATGATATGTGTTTTAATATAAATGTCTGACGATATGTGTTTATGGAGAAAAAGGTAAGTTAATGGTCTATGTTTTAGTATACATGTTTAACGATCTGTATTTTAGTGTACCCGTGTGATGATTATTGCATATATGTTATTTTTTTATTTTTTTATTACGCACCTTTTATTTTTGGCTCAAATATATATATAATTGCATACTTGTTTTTTTTAGTGTCATGTCTTATGATTTGTATTTATGGAGAAAAATATACGTTATGATAAAGTACTTTTTTAGAATATGTATTTAAATTAGATAATGACATTGTCGTTATTTTTTGCAATTATAAAGAATGTTAATTATGTCTATTACTTTGACTTTTTAATAGTAACCTAATTCAAAAAAATAATAATAATAACTAGTGAATTTCTTTTTAAATCTTATTGGGCCTAAAGTCCAACCTCCAAATCCATCTTAGTTTTTTATAGCATGAAAATTGTACAAACATTATTGTTCGTTACTACTCTATTATTTCTTTTCTTTTTTTTTTAGTAGAAAGTTCATCGGTACTTATTTGGGTAGAGCTTTTGACCCATCCCAAATGTTTTTGAAAAAAAAATATCCTAATTAAGGGTTGGTTTGAAAATAATTCTCAAACTCAGGGACTTTTAAAAATGTTAGTTAGTCTGACATTTTAATGTTTAAAGACGTCACTTGGTATGACGTTTTTTGCCTAAAAACGTCAGAACAATTGATATTTTTAAGCTTGAATAGTCATATTTCAAGAATCTTAAAAACGTTAGTCCAGTTGACGTGTGAATCTTGATTTTTCTCTCCTTTCTTCTTTCCTTTCTCTTATTTTCTCTTCTTCCCCCCATTTGAGCCCTAACGTTTTCAGGCGAATGACTCACCATCTGCACCCCCCATAGCAGACATTCAATCAGCAACCACTATCGATCATTGCAGCACCACCCAACCATCAAAGTCTCAAATCCAAGCACCACCACCACTATCGAAGCCCACCTCATCACCACCCAGCACTACCCACCATCTAAAAGGCCCAACCCCAACACTACTATCACCACCACTAGTCCCAGGCCCAACCGCAGCACCAAAATCCCCCAAAAGAGAGCAATCTATGATCAGTATTGTGAAAAAGGGCTAAAAGGGCAAGTGCCACCACCAGATGCTGGAAGACCTGGTGGAACAACATTTTTCTCAACAGGAGATGGACCAAATGTGTTTACATTCAGTCCTAGAAAACACCAATAATATTTTTGCTAAATTTTTCGGGTCTTCGAGTCCATTTGGAGGAATGCCTTTTGGAGGAATGGGATGGGGTAGTGGCATAAAGGGAAATTCAAGGTTTTCTGGTGGAATGTTTGCGGATGATATGTTCAGTTCATTTAGGGATGGCAGACCAATGAGTTCAGGTCCCCGGAAGGCACCTTCGATTGAGAATACATTGCCTGACAATTAACCTTTAGAATTTTTCGAGTTCATTGTCTTGGTTGATGGGGCATTTGTTGAGCCACTATTCTGAAAATGCTTTGTTCAATCCTCCATAAACTTCCAAGTATGGTTCTGAAATATTATTATCTCGGCCAGCCAACTATTGTTATCTATTGTTTTTCCTTCTCTTATAATGTTGTTAAATTTATAGCTATCTATGTCTAATTGTCTATTGTAAATCGGGTGTTACTTAGATGAGAAACTTGTAAAAGGCATGAGTTGTTATAGTGATCATACCCAGGGTGGGGGTTTTGTTGCTCTTTTCGTCGTATTTTATTGCTACTTGCTTTTATTCCGTGACATATTTGTTTCTTCTCAAGACAATAGAAATAGTTCACCTCTTTCTTATCTTGCTTTCATTTCTAAAACGATAATTTTTTTTTTGTTAAGCAGGAAGACCTTGCCAGTAGAGGAGATTTTAACCATAGACATCAAGCCTAGTTGGAAAAAGGGAACAAAAATCACATTCCCTAAGAAAGGGAATGAACAACCAAACGTTATTACTACAGACCTTGTATTCATAATCGACGAAAAACCTCATAGCACGTTCACGAGAGATGGCAATGATCTGATTGTCGCTCAGAAAATATCGCTCACTGAAGCGTTAACATGATACACAGTCCATCTCACAACACTTGCCTGTAATTGCAAAATGAAGATTTGGAGAGATGATCTCAATACATTATTCCAGTTGCAAATTAGCAATTGTTTGTACTGTGAATCACGAGAAATATAATTGAAAAAATAATTACAGGATTATTGAGAAATATTAAATCTTCCATTGCCTTTGGAGGAAAAATATTGAAATCTACATGAGAGATTCCTCTCATATTGATGCCTTCTTTTTAGGGGTGTCAATCATGTCAGGTTAAACGGTTACGTGCCGGGTTAAATAGGTGACGGATAAAAAATATATAAACTCATACACAACACGTTTAATAAACAGATAAAAATTTTAACACAGACACAAATCATTTAATAAACAAACAACACAACACAACTCATTTAACCCATTTAAAAATAAAAAAATAAAACATTACTATTTTAACAAATTTATATTCTCCATTTTTTTTTACTTCCAACTATACTTTCCTCAATTCCAACTATACTTTTTTCCAACTATACTTTCCTCAATTCCAACTATACTTTTTTCAATTGAAGGAGTTCTAGCCAACAGTCAACAATCCAAGTTATAAGTCACGCCACCAAAGTTGGCTAAAAGGACGAGGCCCTTTTATAGGCAACTAAATTGCCCTCCCCACTGCCTGTGTCGATGTGGGATTCTAATAAAATGCCCCTCAATTGCTCAAAACTTTTATTTTGTAATTTTTGTGAACTGATTTCCTTATTTTTTTTTTTTGAAATGTTTTCTTTACTATTTTTTCTTTACTCATTCATTATTTTATATATATATATATATATATATAATTATTAATTTATTATTATATTAATTTTATTTTTAAACGGGTTGATATGTCTCACCCGAATATGATCCGTTTATTAAACGTGTCTAACAGGTCAACCTGTTTGCCATCCAAACCCGTTAAAGTCTTACCCAAACCCGTTTAATTCGTGTCGGTTAATCGTGTCGTATCGAATTTTGACAGGCTTACTTCTCTTTGTCTCATGCTGCTTTTCATTTGTTGAAAACAACCCAAAAAAAGGTTCATGTTAGATAAATTAGTGCAGTCTCAGAAGCTGATCTATTTATAATGTTGTTTATTTACTAGGTAATGCAATATAAGGATGGTGCAAACCACTATAAATTAAATGAGGAGCTTAAAGAATGGCCGCCTTTGTGACACTGTTTTTTTTTTTGAAACAATTTAAATTAAATAGATCCACGATTAGATGCTATATTTCTAAGCTGGACTCACTTGTTTCTCTTCTTTCATCTTGGCCTTGATAAAAGAGTATATAGCCACTCCAGCAATTGCAATGCATGTTCTGATGCCAGTTTGAGTAAAAATCTTGTCACCTGCAAAATTATTTTGTTAGATTTTTATTTTTCGATTCAACGAACTTGGTAAAAGATATCCATAGGACATCATCAAGCAGAGGCAAAGATGTATATTTACCAAAGACTGATTGAGAAGCCAATCACAAACACCCATTTCAATACATTTCCAACTGCACGTGTAAAAGAGTATAATTAAATTATAACTTTCGCAATTTTAAGAAATTACTAGTACCAGAACAAGCCAACCCTACTATCACCCACGATACAAATATATATGTGATATGAGTTTTTAATAATCTACTCAATACCCAACTCAATAACACAATCAATAATCAACTCAATTCAGTTACGCAACTCAATAATCAATAATTTGCTCAATACCGAACTCAATAACACAATCAACAATCAACTTAACTCAATAATAAAATAATCTACTCAATATCCAACTCAATAACACAATCAATGATCAACTCAATAAATCAATAATCTACTCACTACTCAACTCAATAACCCAATCAATAATAAACTCAATTCAATAATCAATAATCTACTTAATACCCAACTCAATAACTCAATCAATTCAATTCAATAATAAATATTTTCATAGAATTTCAATATTTTTCATTCAAAAAATTCTCACAGATTGTGGTGGAGGCGCTGTCAACAGTGCAATGGAGGAATAGTAGTGCGGATTAGGGGATTTTGGTTCTTGGCTTGGGTTTGGGCTTGGGCTTGGGATTGGTGGTGGTTATAGTGGTGCTGGGGTTGGGCCTTTCAGATGGTGGGTAGTGCCGAGTGGGGATGGGGCGAGCTTCGATAGTGGTGGTGGTGCTCGGATTTGGGGCTTCAATGGTTGGGTGCTAGTGGGTGGTCTTGCGTGGTGCTATGATGGTAGTTTTACGATGGCGATTCTGCGATGATGGTGTTGCGATGATGGTGCTACGATGACCGATAGTGGTTGCTGATTGAATGTCTGTTATGGGGGGTTGCAGATGGTGAATCTCTCGCCTGAAAATGTTAGGGCTCAAATGAGGGTAAGAAGAGAAAATAAGAAAAAAGAAAGAAGAGAGGAGGGAAAAATCAGGGTTCAGGTTTTAATTAAAAACGTCATTACAAATGATGTTTTTAATTAAACCGTCAATTTAACTAACGTTTTTAAGGTTCTTGGAATGTGACTATTAACGCTTAAAAATGTCAGTTGGTCTAACGTTTGTAGGCAAAAAACATTAGACCAAGTGACGTCTTTTAAGCCTAAAAACATCATACCAAGTGATGTCTTTAAAAGTCCCTAGGTTTGAGAATTATTTTCAAACCAACCGTTATTTGAAATTTATTTTTTCAAAAACACTTGAGATGGGTCAAAAGCTCTATTTGAGTAAATGCATTTTTAGTCCAATTACTACTGAACCAGGTGGACGGTCTTTTTTATTTTGAGAGAATTACACCTAAATCTCTTAAAATTTGTATACAAATAACACTTAAACCTAAATATATTTGTTAATAAATTACACTTAAACCTTATAAAGTTTTTAAATATATACTACTTAGACTCTTTAAGTTTAAAATATTATACTTAGACAAAAAAAACTCTAATCAAAGATAAAATATCAAATATTTTAAATTTAAAAAATAAAATTTATGTTCTATTGTATCATTTATTGAAATAAAATTAAAACTAAAAATTAAATTTTCTTAAAAAAATTGTAATTAGTATACAATTATACTATCTATTGAAATTTTGAATCGTAATTAATCGATTTTTTAAGAAAAAATAGAATTTTTATTTGTGATTTTATTTCAATAAATGATACAATATAACATGAATTTTAATTGTAAAATTTAAAATATTTGATATTTTATTTTTGATTGAAATATTTTTGGTCTAAATATAACATTTTAAACTTAAAATGTCTAATTAATATATGTATACAAACTTCAGGGAATCTGTGTGTAATTTATTAACAAATTTATTTACAGCAGAGGTCTAAGTGTCACGCACGTATAAACTTCAAGGGGTTTGTATATAATATTTCAAATGTCAGGGGTCTGAGTAATTAAATGACAAATCCTATAGAACCGAGTGTAATTCTCCTTTTATTTTTAAACTTTTTTATGTGCGCCAATCATCTTTTCTTGATTTGCATTTATAACATGGGCCCACACCCACAGCCATGCTACTTTCCTTTTACATTTCATCCGAGTACGAGGATTTTTAACAAAGTTTTGTATTTTAACTAAAGTTAATTATAAATTACAGTTTAAAAAAATTGTTTAATTTCTATTTTCAATGATCAAAACTTTTAATTTGCACTCTCAAAGAAAAATTTTTGTATTAATGCACACCCAAAATTTATAATCGCTAATTTTTTGTTTATAAATTATACCTAAATTCCCTCATACTTGTGACTTAATTATTTGGACTCTTTACATTTAGAATATTATTACTACATCTCTTGACGTTTATGTACGTGTAATACATAACCTCTTGTCATTCATATTTGTTAATACAACTATTAAAAAATTATAATTTTTATACTATCATTTATTTTGTGAGTTCATTATACTCTAAAATTCAAAATTAAGCTTACTATTTGAATGTTCAAAATCAAACTTATACTTTGTTTTGGATATAATCTTCTTTATATCCAATGCAATACATCACTTAAACAGAATTATTTGGATGCCCAATTGGGAAAACATTTTTTGTCATATTTGTAGGTATAATATTTCAAATATGAGGAGTCTAGATGATTAAGTGACAAACATAAGGAGGTCAAGATGTAATTTATCCATTTAGTTTTAGACGACAAACTAACAGTTGTTAGCTTAAGATGCAGATTGATACAGATTTCTATATTTGAGGGTGTAAATTAAAATTTTTGATTTTTGAGGGTGTAAATTGAGATTTAAACTATCTTTCGAATGTGCAATAATTTGAGATTAACTCTTTTAACTATCAAAAAATGCACTTTTTTTTTCTATTTTACCAACTCATTTTTCTCAATACATACTCTAATAAAGTTTTTATATTTTAACTACTATTAAATATTATTTCTTATATCTTGTGATTTTGTTGGGAGGAGAGAGAAAAATGATGGGAAAGTCAAAGAATAGATAAGAGAAATAGAAAATGATAAGATGAGAAAGAATATATTATAAACCATTTATATATAATGTATTTCACATATTCTGAACATCTTTTATCAGAGCATATTTTTTACTTTTGAATAACTAAATTTTTATCTATTTTGAAGTTTTAACTATCTTCTTGAGGATGCTCTAGAGACATATTTTCTATTTTTCTCTAGTTCCACTCATCACGTGAGACTTACATGAAATAAATTTCTTAATTTTTGAAGGGGGTGGTTCTCTTTATTACACGTGTTATGACATTAAATGAGCTCACGTGAGTCACTAAAACAAACAAGCCTTCGAATTGGTCAATAAGCTTGAAAAACAATAAAAGAGCTCAGCTTTTACCAAATCGTGCTATTTAATTAGTCAGAGAATAGTGAAAGAAGTCGGCACCCTTTATGACCGAGCCATTTCAACTAGTAGATGGAAAGATAAAGATTTGCCTATAACTTAGTCATTCAATATAAGACAAAAAGCTTGATTCTACGTCAAGAGAACTGCCGGAGAGATTTCAGCAG